TTTTTGATGTCTTTTTTGTTTTCTTTGTAAAGGGGGGGTGTATCTCATGAAAAAAAAAAATTTTTTTTTTTTCTTTTGGCTGTTGGAACAAAAATTTAATTTGGGTATCCATTATTTCTTATGGAGGAATTAACTGGCCCAAAAGATTTTTTTCGGGTAAAAATGAGCTCTTTGGAAAGAATTAATATCGTTTGGCGAGGGGGCCATGTTTTAAGTGAATCTTTTTTTATATAAAACAAAAGATATTTTTCTAAATTTAAAAAAGTTTTATGAAAAAGATTCAAAAATGCTTTTGTGAAAACAATTTATTCAATTATATTCCTGTCAACAATGGATTAAAAGGTTTAAAGTAATTTTCCTTGGACCACTCCCCCCAAAGGGGTGGTTCCCAAAGGGCACTTCCTTGTGGGGGCTCCTTGTTTATTGGGGTTTGGGGGGAAGAGTTTGGGCCCCCCTTTCATAAAATATTCAGTTTTTGTTAAAAGGATGACTTTAAAGGGAGTTTAGGGGGTGGCCTTTGGGTACCCTAGTTTTGTTAATTTTGGTTTTACAGCGTTCATGGTGAACTGTATCAAAAACTTTACATTTAAACAATGAAAAAGGCCCCGGGGGAAATTTTTCTTTTTATGCGGGGGATTTACCCTACCATCCCACTTACGACCGGGGTTTGGTTCCCAGAAACCGTCATAAGTCAAAAAAGGTTTGGTTTAAATCGAACTTTTCTAATGAATATCAACAAATCTTTTTTTTAATGCTTTTTTTTTTGTTTTAAATTTTGGGGTTTCATGTTTTTTTTTTTCTTTTTTTTTGGGTTGGGAATACTGTTTTTTTATACTGTAAGAAGGGTTTTGGAAAAAACACTGTGTACAACCAAATAGTTGTTTATTTCCCCGAAAATTTGGGATTAAAAAAAACGGGGCGTAAGTCGAGTGGTCGTAAGGTTTAGCAGGCGTAAGCGGATGGTAAAGGGGCATTAGTTCTAGCATGTGTATGAAGCATCATTTTTTGCTTTTATTATTCCCGAAAATTTAACCCGATAAGGGTTTTTAAAAATGGGTTTTGTGAGTTTAGGTAGGAAAAGATCCATCTTTTTGAATTAATTTTTCAAAGATTTTAGAGAGCAGTAGTAAAAATTTGTTTTTGGGGGGCTATAGTTATTCAAGTCAGCTTGGTCACCTCCTTTATGGATTGGAGTGACCCTCGCTATTTTGAGGATTGTTGGGAAGGTAGATGATTCAATGGATTTGTTAACCCTTAAACGGTCCAAACGTAAATATACGTTCACTCGCGCAGCGCCCCGAATATTTTGAAAAAAAAAAAAACTTTTTTTTTTTCATAGAAAAAAAGAGCACATTTTTTTAAGTGTTGGAATAAAAAAAAAATTTAGAGTCAGTACTTACCGAGATATGAGGCAGAGAAGTTGGCACTGGATGCTCATGTGACGGCAACATGGGGTCCTGCCACTTGCAGAAGTGTTGCCGATATACCTTTTTTTTCTATTTTTCATATTTTATATAATTTTTATGTTCTGATAATTACAGTTTATAGTAGTTCTTGTCATTTCATAACCAATCTTTGTTCTGGCACTAGTATTAGGTACTGAAATTGTACTCAAATTGTCACAGACACATTGACAGGTGGGCATTTACACCTGCCTTGGCCATTTACTATTGTCTTGGAATATAAACAAAGTATTTATAGGTCCCAGCAATGTTTTGGATATGTGGAAGTATATAATAGTAATGAGGAGAAGGAGGAGAAGTAGGAGAAGGAGTAGGAGGAGAAGGAGGAGGAGGAGAAGGAGAAAGAGGAGGAGGAGGAGGAGAAGAAGGAGGAGGAGAATGAGAAGAGAGGAGAATGAGAAGGAGGAGAGAGGAGAGAGAGAGGAGGAGAAGAGGAAGAAGAGGAGGAGAGGAAGAGGAAGAGAGGAAGAGGAAGAGGAAGAGGAAGAGGAGGAGGAAGAGGAAGAGGAGGAGGAAAAGGAGGAAGGAGGAAAAGGAGGAAGGAGGAAGGAGAAGAAGAAGAAGAAGAATACGTAATGATAATAATACGCCATAATAATAATATGTAAGAATAATAATGCATAATAATCATAATGCCTCATGATAAATTCCCTTGAAGCATGAAAAACAATGTCCACCCGACAGTGACATGATAAGGGGAGATAACATCTGATAAGAGCTGACATTTGATGAGCATACACGAGGGTGGGGGAGGGTGCAGGTGATAAGAAAAGATTAGATGACCATCCCCCTCCTTCGTTTTTTCTGGTACACAAACATTTCTGTCTGTCTATTTGTCTGTCAAGCTTCCTGTCTATCTGTCTATCCGTCTAGCTCTCTGTCTCAGAGAGAGCCACAAGACTGCGTCGACACGTTTACTCACATCTTCAAGCGGAGTATAGCACTTTGTCTGGATTTTTGGGTTATCCTAGGTAATTTATACTATGTATACTTGTATTTATGTGTTCCTGTGAGACAGAGGCAAAGACAGATTGAAAGAGATAGACACAGATAGACAGAGACAGATAGACACAGATAAACAGAGACAGAGATAGACAGAGATCGTCAGACCCTAAACTTGGGGTTAACATGACTTTCCTCTTAAAAGAGAAGTGTTAATATGACATTACATCAGTGAATCCTTGGTGTTTGCCACACTGTTTGCTCTAGCTGGTGCTCAATTTAACTGGTGCTCCCACAAGGTACTAAGTGGTCCCATATTTTTTTTAATATTGCGCACACCGAGTGTTAAGACCAATTCTATGCTGACCAGGCATCTCAGGCCAATCGTGCCAAATTTGGAGGCAAGAAAATTAAAACATATATATACATTTGGGGCACTACGAGTAAGAACGTATATATACGTTTGGACCGTTTAGGGGTTAAAGAGTGTTGCAATAATTGGTGACAGTACTTGAGAAGCTTTTTTGTACATAAAAGCAGGCAAGTTGTTTATGTCACCTGCCTTATTTATAAGGGTGTTGATGATGAGCGAGACTTCTAGTGGGTTGGTTGGAGCTAGGAATAGCATATTTGGGTAGGTACCTATGAGGTAGTCTTGATAACCCACACCAACAACAGTCTCTCCACATCTTCGAGTAGTACAGCTGACCGTGGTGCAGCAGCAGCAGCAGCAGCTGACCATGGTACAGCAGCAGCAGCAGCTGAGGTGCTTTTCACAGCAGCTGACCTTTGGTAAGCAGCAGCAGGTGACAGTGCTACAGCAGCAGCTGAGGTGGTGCAGCAGCAGGCGCAAGCAGCAGCAGCTGACCATGGTACAGCAGCAGCTGCAGCTGATGGTGTACAGCAGCAGCGCAGCTGACCAGGGGAAACAGCAGCACAGTGACCGTGGCAGCAGCAGCAGTCCCGAGGTACAGCAGCAGCAACAGCTGACGTGGTACACAGCAGCAGCAGCTGACCGTGGGTACAGAGGCAGCGAGCGACGTGGTACAAAAAGCACGCTGACCGTGGTACAGCAGCAGCAGCAGCTGACCGTGGTACAGCAGCAGCAGCTGACCGTGGTGCAGCAGCAGCAGCAGATGACCGTGGTACAGCAGCAGCAGCTGACCATGGTACAATAGTATTTCAACAGTATTTCTCACCTTGTTACCACAGGGTTGGCACTAGAAACTTTCTTTGGGTTCATGGTGGCTTATTTACCAGTTACAAGCACTAAAAACACTGGATTAATACAAAATTTATCGAATGTATGTGCGCAGCTGTCCACCCTGGTTTGTAAACAATGTCACACTAAGCTTGTGAGGTTAAAGGGCCATCAACAGCGGCCATTTGGAATTAATGAACTCGTTGATTTTTAATTATCATAAATTTTTGGCGTAACATCGTATCGTTGTCTGGTTACCACATATATTTTCCTTTTTATTATTTTTAGAATTTTATAGATCGTATTTTTATTATAAAATTTTTAAAAATTTGGGTTTAATAAAGTCATTTGTACCCCCTTCAATTTTTTTTATTTTTTTATATCCAATTTTTTATAGGGTTTTTGTAAGTGTTTATTTAAAAATTTGAAAAAAAAATTCATAAGGTGGATTAGGGGTATGTATATTAACGTAATATACAACATGTAATGAGACTCGGTGATTATTATTATCATTACTAAAATGGCATCTCGAGACATAAGACACTCTTACTGATTATAATGTGTACCTGCATGCCAGCACAATTTGTAAGTTTATTTAGGTACAGGTATACATAAGTATAATTATCAGAGTATATATAAAAAATAGCTTTTAAAAACACTTGAAATTTTGGAGTTTCCAGACATAATGGAGAGATGTAGTGCTTACTGATCTTACATAGAATGTAAACAAACCGGGTGGGGGCACAGTGACCGTATTAGAAAGTCAGGTGGGAGGAGCCGTATAGAGAGTTTGGTCATAATTTGAAATGGCCGTATTAGCGGAATGCCATAAAGCGACATGCTGTAAAGCGGAGCCCTACTGTATACATAAGCATAATTATCAGAGTACATATAAAATATGCAATAACTTTAAAACACTTGAAATTTTGGAAATTTTCCAAACATAATGGAGAGACTTGCTCATGGAGAATGTAAACAATCTGGGTGGTGCTCGGTGCCCGCATTAGAAAGTCAGGTAGGGGGAGCCGTATAACAAGTTTTGGCCACAATTTGAAATGTCTGTATTAGCAGAACGCCACAAAGCGGGGCCGTACTGTATGTTTCTTTTTTTTGCTTACTTGCATGAATTGTTTGGAAGCACAGTTTACCAAATTTTTGAGGTTCAATTCTTGCTAGCTATCATCACTTACTGGTATACATTATTATGTGCATCAAGGTAATAATACTGCTTCTTATGAACAACATACTCATATACATTATAGTGTGTGCTTTATATACATAATGTACCATGTACAGTATATGAGTCTTTCAGTACCTCCTATACTTAATTAATGGTGTATGTTATGACAGTAATTATATACAGTGTAACTTTAATAAAATTCTGATGTGAACTTGTTTTTCAGGTAACACTGTGGTGTTGTACAAGATGGGGAATTTTGTAGAAATCAGCTGTGGGCCAATGATAAGCAACACTAGTCATCTTGGCAAAGTTTCTGTCACAGCTGCACATCCCATTGAGACAAACAAGGGACAACTGTATCGCATTCAAGGGGTGGCTCTTCCAAAAGGATTTTTGGTAAATATTATAAATATGTTAAGGTATATAATAGACCATGGTAGGGAAAACTTAGATGTTCATAAATTTGGTATAAAGGAAAGCTGTAAAGTGTATTATGTCTCCAGATAAGGGAAAACATAGTTATTCATGAGTGTAAAGATGAACTACAAGCACAGAATACCTTTATATAGAGGGTCCCTCACTTGACCCTTTCAGTGTTGGTCCCATAATATTACGGCTTGAGAGCCAGTGTTGGTCCCATAATACTATGCCAAAATTCTAGCTCCTTCATATCTGGTGGAAGAAAGCTGGTAGGACTACATATGAAAGAATGGGTCTGCATGGTCACTGTGCACAGTATAAAACAATCCTGCAGCACGCAGTGCATAATGAGAAAAAACTCCGACTGTGTTTTTGGTTTAAAACAGCGACTTTACGGTGTATTTTTGTATGGTATTTATGGTTGTATTCTCGTTTTTGTGGTCTCATTTGATAGAATGGAAGATATTTTACAAAATGGAGATGTTTTTTGTTTGGGTTTTTCACAGTGAAAAGTACCTTGGAATTGAGCTCAAAGTAGGGAAATTTTCAATTTTTAACCGATGTTAAGAGAAAAACATATAACATCATGACAATACGGTCCAAGGGCCAGTCTAATACACAGTCATAAATTTTGGGTTGACTTTATTTTACAGTTATTATAATACTGCAGTATTGCAAAACAGTAAATCTTCTATTTTTTGTGAGAATAAAATTAAAAATGAAAACAAGATATAAAGGGGGGGCCTAGAGTTTACAATAAAAAAAAGAAATGTTTTTTTAGTGCCAAATGTCTCCCTTTTTTATTCTGGCCCTTTTTTTGAAATTGGATCTTTGAAATTTTTGAAAATGGCCAAATTTCCAATTTTGCCCATTTTTTTGGGAGTTAAAATTTGGGTACATTGCAGTTTCTTTTACAAATTTTGATATTCGCAAAATTTACAAGACCAAATTTTCGTAATTTTCCATCAAATTTCATACTTTCAGTGTAAATACCACGGGGAAAAGATTATCATTTCATGAGATTTTTTTTTTTTTTTTTTTTTTTTTTGAAGAGAGTGAGTAAGGTCGGGGGCCGACACTGAAAGGGTTAACAGTTCCTATATTTACAAACAGCACACTTATGAATAAAGTACAGTAAAACCCTTTAGTTTACATTTTCAAATTTTTATTTTTTTCATTTCCAATAGTAAAAGCCCTTTTCCCATTAACCCTCTGGGGTCCAGACCCCCCAATCTAAAAATTTCTCCACAGGGTCGGAAAAATTGTATTGATAAACCCCAGGGGGTGTGATACGTGGGTAAACAATGGCACACTGAGCGTGAATGGTGGGGAAACGGGCTTTGTGGCGTGGTGACGGGGGGGACGGGTACGGAGGGTGCAAAAACAGAGTTTTTTCACAAACTCGAGGCCAAATTTTTTCCAAAAAAACTCGCCGAAGGTCGAATTCCATGAAAGTCGGGGGTGCCAAAAATCGGGGCCCCTTTACACCCAATGCTTCCCTCTTCACTTGAATTAAACCCCGGCTCTCACGTGTAAGCGAAGTTTTTGCCCCCGGGCCAGGGGGCCCCAAGGGGCCAACCCTTACTGGGTCGCCCCCCCAGACCTCAGTTTTGCGAGTTGTACGACAAGCTGCAAAACAGGTTTGGGGTTTTTGATTAGTTCCTGAGGTATTAAACAAATTTCAAAAGAATACACTACACCCTTCAAAGAATACACACATTTTTCAAAATACACCACACCCTTCAGAAGAATACACTACACCTTAGAAAAAATGCACTACATCCTTCGAAAAATACAAACACCTTCAGAATGTGGTATATCAGAAGAATATACCACATCCTTAAAAGAATACACTAAATCCTTAAGAAGAAGCACTACATCCTTCGACGAATGCACTACACCTCAGAAAATGCACACCCCTTCAAAAAAAAACACCTTCAGGAATACCCCCACATCCTTCAGAAGAATGCACCCCAATCCTTCAAAAGAATGCACTACATCCTTCAGAAGAATACTACACCCTTTTCAGAAAATGCACTACATCCTACAGAAAAGCATAATGTCCAACAGAAAAATACAACACCTTCAAAATTTAGTCCTTCAGAAGAATGCACTACTCCTTCAGAAAAAAACATTAATCCTTTAAAAATGCAAAAAACCTACAGAAGAAATGTTTACATCCTTCAAAAGAATGATTACATCCTTCAAAGAATGCACTACTCCTACAAAGAAGCACACACGTACAAAAAACGCATTACATCCTTCGAAAATGCCTACATCCTTCAAAAAATATACCTTAAAAATTAGTCCTTCAGAAGAATACACTACTCCACAGAAAATGCATTACATCCTTCAAAAATGCACACCCCTTTAGAAAAGCTTTACATTTTTCGAAGAATGCTTTACATCCTACAGAAAAAAGCATTACATCCTTCAGAAAAATACACACATCCTACGAAGAAGCATTACACTTTCAGAAAAATGCATTACATCCTACGAAGAATCATTACATTTTTCAGAGAATGCTTACATCCACGAAAATACAATACATCCTACAGAAGAAAAACACACACCCTTTCAAAGAAAACATCATCCTACAGAAGAATACACTACACCCTACAGAAGGATACACTCATCCTTCAGAAAATGCACTACATCCTACAGAAAAGCTTTACATCCTTCTGAAGAATGCATTACATCCACAGAAGAATGCATTACGTCCTACAAAAATCATTACTTCCTACAAAAATGCTTTCGCCTACAGAAGAATGACTACATCCTTCGAAAAATTTGCACTACATCCTACAGAAAAATAACCTTTCAAAATTATGCCCCTTCAAAAATACACTACATCCTACAGAAAAAGCTTTTCATCCTTCAGAAGAATGCACTACACCCTTTCAGAAGAATGCATACATTTTTCAGAAGAAGCATTAATCCTACGAAAAGCATTACACCCTTTCAAAGAATGCATACATCCTTCAAAAAAAATATATCCTTCAAAATTATTCCTTCAGAAGAATACACACATCCTACAGAAGAATGCATTACATCCTAGAAAAATTTGCACTACACCTTCAAAAAATGCATTACATCTTTCAGAAGAATGCTTTAACCCTACAGAAGAATCATTACATCCTTCAAAAATACACTACATCCTACAAAGAAGCATTACATCTTTCAAAAAATTACTCCTACAGAAGAAGCATTACACTTTCAAAGAACTTTACATCCTAAGAAAATACAATAATCCTACGAAAAATACCTACACCCTTCAGAAAAAAACACTACATCCTACAAAAGGAATAACTACATCCTACAGAAGGATACCTACATCCTTCAGAAAATGCATACATCCTACGAAAAATGCATTAAAAACCTTCTGAAGAATGCATTACACCCAACAAAAAAATGCATTACGTCCACGAAGAATGCTTTAGTCCTACAGAAGAATGCATTCGTCCTACAAAGAATATTTTATCCTTCAGAAGAATGCATTACGCCCTACAGAAGAAGCATTACATTGAAAGAATGCATTACACCTAAGAAGAATGATTACACCTCAAAAAATGCATTACGTCCTACAGAAGAATGCATTATATCCTTCAGAAGAAGCATTGTCCTTCAAAGAATGCAACGTCCTACAGAAGAATGCTTTTACTCCTACAGAAAAGCACTACACCCAACAGAAGAATGATTACGCCTACAGAAGAAGACACCACAGAAGAAGCATACCCCTTCAGAAAAAAGCACTACACCTACAAAAGAATGCATTACATCCTACAGAAGAATGCATTACATTAACGAAGAATTTTTGTCCTAAAAAGAACATACTCCTTCGAAGAATGCACTACATCCTTCAAATTATGCCCTTCAGAAAATTTTACCCCATCCACAGAAGAATCACTACATCCTACAGAAGAATGACACCCACAAAAAGAAACAACACCTACAGAAGAAGCCTACATCCTACAGAAGAATACACTACATCCTACAGAAGAATAAAACTACTCCTTCAAAGAATGCACACATCCTACAGAAGATGCATTACTCTTACAGAAAATGCTTACGCCCAGAAAATGCATTTGTCCACAAAAAAAGCAAAACCCCTAAGAAAATGTTTTAATTTTCCTACAAAGAATGCTTTACGTCCTACAGAAGAAGCATTATCCTACAGAAGAATACACACACCTACGAAGAAAACACACACCCTACAAAAAATACACACATCCCTTCAAAAGAATGCACACATCCTACAGAAGAATGCATTCGTCTTACAGAAAACATTACTCCTACAGAAAAAAAGGAAAACTCCACAGAAAATGCATTACGTCCTACAGAAGAAAAACTAATCCTACAGAAGAATACACACTCTACAGAAATACACTCATCCTTCAAAAGAATGCATTACTCCTACAAAGAATTTACGTCCCTACAGAAAATGCATTACTCCTACAAAAATACCTACTCCTACAAAAATACACTAACCCTTTAAAAGATAAACACATCCTTCAGAAGAATCACTACACCCTACAGAAAAAGCTTTTTCCCCTACAGAAGAATGCATTACACCTACAGAAGAATGCATTACTCCAAACAGAAAATGCATTTGTTTACAGAAGAATGCATTACTCCTACAAAGAATGATTACGCCCCTACGAAAATAAAATTAAATCCTCAGAAGAGCATTACGCCTACGAAAATGATTACGCCAACAGAGAATACACTACATCCTACAGAAGAAAAAACAAAATCCACAGAAGAATACACACACCCTACAGAAAATACACTACATCCTACAAAGAAACACTACATCCACAAAAATACACACACCCTACAGAAGAATAATACTTCCACAGAAGAATACACTACATCCTAAGAAAAACCACACCCTACAAAAAATACACTACATCCTACAAAGAATACACTCACCCTTCAGAAGAATACACTAAAAACTCAGAAGAAACCAAAATCCT